CGAGTATTTTTGCAAACATTCAGAAAAATCCATTTAAAATAAAGAACACCCAAATATGCAGCAGAGTGTGCATACATATGGGTGTATTTTCCAACAAGTTGTTGTCTCTTCTAATTCCTAAACTTCACCTACCTACTTTCATCTCAACAGTTAAGTGCTTTAGGCAATTTTCTGGGCAGAAAAATGAGATACAATAGATAAAAGCAAGGGACAAAGAAAAAGAAAAGGAAACACACTTACCAGCTCATGATTGCCAACAGGCATACAAGGTGTGGCAGCCTAAAAGAGCAAGACACAAAGGAGACCCAACATTAGCAGTCTTAACACAGAAAAAAGCAAGATAACACACATTTCACCTGAGCACTGGATGTACCTCCCTCTTACCATCTAACAGCAGTCACATTTACTTACTTACTTACTTACTTACTTACTTACTTACTTACTTACTTACTTACTTACTTTGGTTGAGTTGAGAGGGAGTGACTGGTCCAAAGTCACCCAGTTGGCTTTCATGCTTATGGTGAGACTAGAACTCTCACCGTCTCCTGGTTTCTATACCTATGGCTCACCACTGCACCAAACTGGCTTAAATACTTATTTTGGTGTCCAAAATAAATCAAATACACCAAACATTGATGTTGAGCTTTTCTATCTGTGCATGGAAATTATTCGCTCCCTCTAAAGTAACTGAACGTTCAGGCAGATTTTAGAATAGGCATTTTGGAAAGTAAGAACCCATCAACATTTGCTTTCTCAAGCAACTGCTCAGGATTGAATGAAAGCTTATCAAGGCTGTACTACAGAGGATTTGTTCACTAGACAACATGACGTCCAAGGCCAGAGGTCTAGTATTATAAGAATACTAGATTATTATTGAGCAAAAGGAGGGATACCGCAGTTTTAACACTTAATTTTTTATTTTAGTTTTTTTTACAATTTTAAAGAAAGCAACTACAGTGCTCGACAATAAGGCAGGACTTAAAATTATGGGCTTTGATGAGACCCTGAACTCCATTTTTTTCATTTTTTATTGCCAAATTTTACTGGCAGCTTTCGAAAACATCCCAATGTCTGGCTGAAAAATAATAGTAGTAATTGCAGTACTAGTAGTAATAGCACCTATGTGCTTCATGAAGCACATATAAATTAAGCAAATATAAATTATTTTAAAAAATGTCACAACAAAAATAAAAGTAGGATAAAATGCAATGGGTAATAGCAACCTGTTTGGGGAAAACCACTGCGTCAGTCTCTTGCCTATCGTGTCTCTGAGTTAAACACACAAAATGTGTTGCATCTAGCCACCAAAACCTATTACTATTATATTTGTATCCTATTAAATTCAATGAGGCTTACATTCAGACTTCCCTTCTTTTTATTTTCAGAATGGAAAGATGATGAAAAGGAGAAAGTGATAGCTCCAAAACCATTCAATGAAATCTATGGTGGTATGCGGACATACACCAAGTACATCCGGATCTTCTAGTAAGCAGTAAAGAGATGGAAAAGTCCAGTGAATATTTTTGTATAAGTCCTGATATGTCTAACATTCTAAAATATAATACTGATCTTTCTCCGCTTTGCATTATATCCTGTTGAATAGTCGCATACCTTGCTCACGAGATGTTTCAGATTAATGATCAGAAAACATCTCTGCAATCTCTCTTTCATATCGGTTTGTTTCACGGTACCACTCTAAAGCAATAAACAAACCTGCTTCATCTTGCAGCCATGACTACTTCTTAAGATGAAGAAAAATATAGGAAAATAACACTAGTGTGAAGGCCCTAAATTCCACTAGAACATGATAGCCAGAGACCTCAAGCACCCTAGATTGTGGATCATGGTTTAGTTTTTGGTATGAATTTGTTAGCCACATATTCCCACATCATCTCAGAATTGACAAATAACCCTGACATATGCATATCATAAGCAAGTTATCCAGAGGTGGTATTCAGCAGGTTCTGACCAGTTCTGGAGAACCAGTAGCGGAAATTTTGAATAGTTCGGAGAACCGGTAAATACTACCTCTGACTGGCCCCCCCCCCATCTATTCTCTGCCTCCCGAGTCCCAGCTGATCGGGAGGGGAATTTTGCAGTAACTTTCCCCTGGAGTGGGGTGGGGAGGGAATGGAGATTTTACAGTATCCTTCCCCTGCCATGCCCAGCCAGCCACACACCCCAAGCTACGCCACGCTAACTCAGCCACGCCCACAGAACCGGTAGTAAAAAAATTTGAATCCCACCACTGAAGTAATCAAAATATGTTATTAGTATTAATATTTAAATACTGAGAATTCTTCACTAGGATTCTTGATTTTGAAGCAACTGATCAGGGTTGCTATTTTCTTCCTGAGCCATCATTAAGTGTGAATTTCAGGGAATTCTTTGGACGGGGTGGGGGGAAGTTAAGGGTTAAAAGAATGTTTCCCTATTGCCTTCCTAGCACAGAGGCTCTCTAGAAGAGCAAGAAGGCCTCTTCCACAACACAACTAGCTCATCTGATCCCCAGAGGCCCCTTTATGTGGAAAAACTATTTGAGTGCTAAAATAAGTAATAATAAAAAAAAGAAAGTTGGCCTCAACTGAGAGAAGTCTCATATCCACTTAATTGAACCCCCGTGCTACAGAATGCTTATAGAACAAAAGGGGACAAGGGAGGTATGTGGTTTTTTTCCCCCACAAATGCCATGTAAACATCAAATCCAGCCAAACTTCAGTTTCAATCCTTTCCAGAGGCAACTGCAGTTTTGGTCCTTGGGAGATGTTCTTCTATAATGTGCCAGTTCTTTTCTCTTTCTTTTTTCCCCTCCCTTTTTTGTACTCGAAACTGCTTACAATCTTTACTGTTTACAGAAAGAAAAAATGAAGTTATTGACTTCCAAACAGCAGAGGGAATCAATAGATTAGCTTGAGAAAGAACATGAAATCGAATCACATTTTGTTTTACAAACTACTCTTGCCTCTTCATTAATAGATGCAGATTCATTTGCCAGATTACATAGGTATGTCTTTGGTTGAAGGCAACACAGCACCAAAAACCTTAGGTCTACTCTACTCCCATCACCCTATTTCATAGTACTATGTGTCCTGTCACTGTAATGCCTTACGTCAGGGGTTCTCAACCTGTGGTCCAGACCCTTGAGGGGGGGGGTGTGATGTCATCACAAGGAGTTGCTGAAGACTTGAAGAAATGTTATAATTTAAACCTTGAGTTTAAATCTGGGGGTGGGGGTGTTGGTGGCCATGGTCTGTGGCCACAAAAAATTTAAAGGTGGTCCCTGATGAAGAAAAGGTTAAGAATCACTGCCTTATGTCCTCATTCGTTCAGTACCCAGAAAGGTATTCTTAGAGCCTTTCCACACTTACATCTCATTATAGCATAAACCTATCTCAACTTTTTGTGTTTTCTCTTGTATCCTCTTCTTTCTACTGGCAGTCTAGAACTAAAAAAATGAGTTGATCTGTTTAGGACAGAGTTCCCCAACCTTTTCATCTTTTGGGACCAATGGGGGGGTGGGAATGGTTCTGCATGCACAGTGGACAAGCGTGTGCACATGTGCAGCAGCTCTATTTGCGCAAGCGGCAGGCATACCCACACACTGCTCACACAAATGAGGCATGTGCATACACCCTCGCTCCTTGTGCAAGTGGGCATGTGCGTGCTCACCCACCACTTCTACTGCCCATTTCCAAAAGGCTCAAGAACTGGTAGTGGGCTGCAGGCCGGGGGTGGGGACCCGTGGTTTATGAGTCTGACAAGCCACTTCTGTGTTTGCAGGGCCAACAGAGATTTCCATGAGATGCTAGAATGGCAAGCAGGTAAAATTCTGGTAAACTGATGTTTTGTAACTGGCTAGGTTACCTGTCAACAGTTTTGTGTGAATGGGCAAGCCCTCAAAGCAACCAATTTGTGAGAGCACAAACAACACATATTCAAAATTCCAAATGTCCCCTTCCAAAACACTTGAAAACATTTAATGCAATAGTAACAGGGATGGGTTCCTGCCAGTTCTAACCTCTTCTATAGAAGAGGTTCCACAAATCTACAGTGCCATTTAGAACCGATTCCAGCTCCCTCGACCCGCCCATCCCCACATCATCAAGATGAAGAGCGAGAGGAGGAATTCTGGGAGTTG